GAGGAACCGTGACACCCACTCTTTCCCGTTGCCCACAGAAGGCCCAGCACATGGCAAAGAACGACCCCCTCTGCATGCGCAGGCCCTGCACGCTTCCTGTACTTATGCTGCTGCCGTTCTTCTCGACAGAAAATTAAAGCATTTAACGAGGACATCACCATCCTGACAGAAGGGGAAGAAACTGTGAAGTCATCTGAAACGCGGCTTTTCACCAAAATCCGAAGAGAGTTTCACAAGTGGAATGAAGAGGTCGGAAAGAATTTCCTTAAGAGTGAGTCCACGTGCCGCCAGCAGCCCCAGGCTGGGTGCCAGGGCGGGTGGGCGTGGGGGGCGACGCAGGGTGGTGAGAGGAAGGAGCCGGGGAGCCGCGGCCAGAGGCGGACAGCGCCGGGCTGGGGTCCGGAGGCCGGCGCCCGAGGAGGCCCCTCCGAAGCCCCCACCCTCGTCTGGACCAGAGTGCCTCTTCCCTGCCATAGGTTTCTTGGACATCCGGAGAGAGATCACCAAGTACGAAAACCAGTACCGTGGCCGCGAGCTGCCGGGCTTCGTGAACTACAAGACGTTCGAGACGCTCGTGCGGAGGCAGGTGAAGATGCTGGAGGAGCCCGCCGTGCAGATGCTGCACCAAGTGGCAGGTGAGCGCGGGCCTCAGCCTCCGGGGGAGAGGGGGGACACGACCGGGCACCCACAGCGCCCTGCCCTGCTTTCGCGAGGGTCCCGGGGCCCACGTTAGCTGCCAGCTACTCTCCAGCGGCCCAGCCCAGGGGTGCTCACCTTCTTGGCCTCCAGTTCAGGGGTGCAAACCCTTCTGCCCCGCCAGCTCATGGGTACCCACTGACCTGCCCCCAGCTCAGGGGCACTCATGCTCCTGGACCCCTAGGCTCCCCGCTGATCACACTGATCAGGGTACTCACAAACCCCCCGCCCCCCTCTCATTTGCCAGAACACACTAGCCATACACGATGAAAACAACTCTCAGACTCTCTGGAAATGATGGCAGTTCGGGGGGGATGGGCCACGGGTCCTGCGGGGAGGGGGCCGTTGGGCAGTGTGGCACAGATGAGGCGCAGCTGTGGACCTGCTCCACACAGTGTGGTGAAGGGATAGTGAGTCTATAAGCTTGGAAACTTTTTTTAGAGACTGATTTATTTTGACATACAGAACTGGGGTACAGGCCAGAGGCGCAGGGGCGGTGAGAGGCTTCACCAGAGACAGAGTGGGGAGCAGAACAGGCAGATGGACGAAGTCCACTGCTGAGGG